AACCGCCCGCTCCCCTCCTCCGCCTCCAGCGGCTGAAGGATTTGGGGCTGCAGCTTTAACGACCTCGGGGGCTGGGGTGAAAGAGTTTTCTCGGAAGGAGCCGAGGGAAAGTAAGTGCCTGTCCAGTGCGTAGTCGTTTATATACATTTTATTGGAAAAAAAAAAAAAATTTGTACATCAAAATATTTTGGCAAACTGTAAAAAGTATACATAAGTGCAAATATATTCTCCTTTTAAAGCAATAGTGTGTGAGTATACACGAGATTTATTTAAAATATTTTTTTTTAAAAAATATTGTGGTAGAAAACAACTTTTGTAAAAATAAAAACCAAAACGTTGTATTGCTGCAATACCGAAAAGAAAAAAAATTTGAACTTTTCTTAAAGTCTATACACAAAAGGGCTAAACAATACTGTTTTAATAATATCGATCGGTCGGTGCTGAAGTCCGTACAAAGTGTCCTTGGTGGGGCTCGGGGACATTAAAAAAAAACAAGCAGAAGAAGAAGAAGTAAATTTCCCGCTAACACAGCGACGGAAGGGGGAGTCCTCGCAGGTGCTGATCTGGGAGGTTTATTTTTCTTATTATTCAAAGACACTTTCTCGTATAAAAATATATGGAATCGTTCCCTTTCCCAAAGCTCGGTTCTTTAGGAAAAGACAGAAAGGCGGTTTATGATTAAGCTGGTCAGACTCGGCGTAAGGACACCGAAGTGCCACCTAACCCAACGCATCACTCAAGCCATTTTTCGTTTGGGAAGAGCTTTGGAGTGTTCTATCGGCTGTACGCGTCCTTCCAGAGATGGAGGGGGACAGAAACCACCGCTTCCTTGGGTAATTTTGCTAAGTGACTCGTGTACTACCAATGCTACGAGAGTGCACATTATATTTAATCTGCGTGGGTCCGTCTATACCGCGGCTCCATTCAATGCCACCTGATTGTCTCTGTTGGGGGGCTGCCTTCACATCACGCAGGGCTTGATGTCTTGACAGACGCTTTGGTGGTGGTGATGGTGGTAGTAAGATCCACTCGCGGAAGGATGAAACGAAGAAATGCCATTAAAATTGAGGACAAAATCTTTCCTGTCGCACACCGGGGAGGGGTGGTGCTGGTAGCGAGGCAATCCCACTGCAAGAGAAGGAGAGAACGAGAGCCGCTCAGAAGCCGGATAGCTCTGCCCGGGCGGAGCAGCCCCTTCGCCCTCACCCGCGGGGGGGAGAGGCCCCACGCAGCGGGGCTGTCGCGCTGCTGCCTTTCCCCCGGCGTCGGCT